CTTGCACCCAAGGATTCGACTAATGGTGTCGTTCCTTTGCTACTTTAATAGGTGTCCTAGTTCTCCTTCCTGTTTGTTGTAGCCGCAACCCGGGTTTGCCAAGATAAGGTCAACTTGTCGGAATGTGCATGTCATTTGTCTGACTCGGGGTTATCGTGGTTACCCTGGGTTGGTGCGTATTGCAGTCCGTACCTTTTAGCAGTCCTGACTGTAACGCCATTTCTTAGTAGTCATCCAAATCTTCCTTTTCTTTGGTCAGGGTCCTTGTCAAGTCTTTTGACGGGAGTTAGGACGAGGCGATTTATCGGGTAAGTGTACGTTACCCAGTTGTTGAAGTAAACTTATCTATTCGCACCCTTACCTGGTGTGGTAAGCGTAGGGGGAGGTTCCTTTAAGTTAGAGAGAGATGAAGTGAGGGGAGGTTATGTGTAGGTTTCACAATCTTACTGCGCGTCCTAAGATTCCTGGATCCTATGTTCCTAAGTACCTAGAGTTCAAGCCTAGTGTCCTAAAGTCCGGTCTTAAGAGTCTTATCCTAGGGTCAAACTTAAGCTCTGATACCAACTGTAACACCCCAGATTTTAAAGACATTTAAAACTTATAAAATAAAGGTGAAATCCCGTTAAATCCCAAAACATAATACAAGAGTATGGGGTGCTATGCCACACCTGAGCTAGAGAACTCAGGTGCACAGGCTAACTAACTAATATCCTCAATAATGTAAAGGCATAAGCATGGCACGTAGGCCGAAAAGGGATACTATCTACTTCTACGTTCCAAGTTCTAACGCGCTCCAGTGACTTATTCTTCTGTGCCTGAAAGCCAAATATATCTGTTCAGCGAGAGATGCTGGTAACCCACTCCAACGCGTTGAAATACAATACATATAGAGATATATATAGATATACGAAAACCATTTTGAGCATGAAGATATATCCTACGAACTCTAGCTTTTAAAACCGGGAATGACTCGACAGATAAGGCCAGACACGAGCAACAGTTATAACAACATATGCAGTTCACAACAGATAAGGCAGATAAGGCAAATCATAAACAATAGTCACAACCCAACATAAACAATCCCCAACATAAATCCCATAGTCACATCCCCCAAGACACTCATGATCACCACTCGTCCCTGTCACAACACATAACACACTTTGTTAGCTCCACAGGACCAATCGCATGCCCATACATGAGGTTCAGTGCATATAGCTCTGACACGGCCCCGCAGCACCCTGCCCCGTATCGCAACACGGAGGGGTCGATCGCAACCGACCGATGAACCACAGCTCATCATAGTGTTTGATCGCAACCAAATAGTGGACCGCAGCCCAAGAGAATGTCATCTGACCGCAGCCAGGAAAGAGGACGAACCGCAGCTCGTATAGAAATGTTTGATCGCAACCAAACGGTGGACCGCAGCCCAAGAGTATCAATCTGACCGCAGCCAGCTTCCGAACCGCAGCTCAGGATAACCAATCCGATCGCAACCGAATTGGGGTAACACTCACACATAACACATAGCAAGCACATGCAACCCATATTACACATTGGGAAGGGGGAGAAAGCGCATAACAAAACCTATGCGTGATCCATCACATACTAAGAATAGTCCTAAGGGATTCATACTTCTACCACCTAGGTCAACGGGGTACCAATTCAACTAGCATGCAATATAATAGACTCATAAACCTACGAACGGTACCCGAAACATCAAACTAGACATAGGCACGATAAACGGAGTCCGTTGGGACACCACGAGGAACGGGGGAACATCAAACGGGGAAGCCGGGATCCCAAGGTGGGATAATTTCCAGCGGGTAGCCGGTGGGTGGGGGGCCACCCGCCGGCTGCCCGCCGGACTTTACTGTTCCGGGCAGCGGGTCGCCGGCGGGCAGCTGCCCGCCCACCGGCCACCCGCTGCCGGGCGGTGTTTCACGGCCGTGGGTAGGTGGCGGGTCTCCTACCCCCCACTGACTCTTTTCACACAATAACGTCCCGGGAATCTTTGTGGAACCCGAAACCATGCTTAGACACTTTACAACGCAACTAATAATTAACACGTAGACAATTAACGGATCAAATACGAGAAACGAACGGCACATAACCTATCATGCTTTTCTAATATAATCAACACCCAACCATGCGATTTCCCCACCCGATAATCCAAGAATAAGATCGTACGATACAACCTAGGGTTCTAATCACTTTTATATCAACAAGAATACGGTTCGTCTTCTAATTGCAAGATTCGGTAAGAATAACACATAAACATCAAGAGCATCACACAATTATCAAGAACGACACATAATCATCAAGAACTCCACATAATTATCAAGAACACCATAGTTATCAAGAATCTCCCAATATCAAGATCATCAAGATCCCCCATGGGATCATCACATCAATTACCAATAATAATCATCATAACTCGCCAATATACAATAATATGGGGAAACCCTAAGGGGGAATTATAACTATGAAAATAGGTTTTGTTGAGTTATGGGTTACCTCTTAGCCTTAATTAATTCCTTGGCTATGAAGGGTCTTTCTTTAAGCTTTCTTGCTTTCTTGATTTCTTCTAAGGGAATTCTTGGAGCTCTTTTGGGATGGTGAGTCGTTTATTGTGATGGGGGGTTCTAGGTGCCTCTTAAGTCCCCTATTTATATATTTAGGAGTCCTAATTAGGAACTAATATTATAGGCTTGCTAATTCTATTCCTTTTGGGACTAAGGATTGGGTTCCATGGTCCATAGTGGACCATATTAATTAATTAAAGAGAATCCTAATCATAATCTGAATAGTAAAAGACCTGCTTCCTTTATTCCTAATAGATAACTAGGTCTAGGATTCCTAATCAGAATCTAAATAGTAAAAGGTTTACTTTCTTTATTCATAATAGGCTTAAGGCTCTAATTTAGGCAAGGGCCCACGGTTCATGGTGGGCCTTATTAATTAATTAAAGGGAAACCTAAACGAATTAAATCATATTTAATTATTATTAACGGGATTAATTAAATAATTAATCTGGGATTGAAGGCCGTAACACGGGGTGTTACACCTTGTAGCGTGGTGGTTGGGCTAGAGAGATTAGAATCGACTCATACATTATCCTTTTGATGATTCCTTGGGCAGAGAAGGCAACCCCGTTATGAAGGCTGTCATTATAACCAACCCATAAGAACCAGACCACCAAGCAAGGAATTAATGATATATAACCACTCTGCGAGGGAGAGGCCAGAATCCACCATGCTTGGCAGACCGCTCTAGCCGAGATATCCCTGTGCATGCTTAAGCCAAAAATCCCATTAAAATGTCGCCAAACCTCCTGTGCGCAACAGCATTGATGGAGGCAATGGTCGAGGGTCGCACTTGCATTCCGACACAGTGGGCAGATCGAGGGCAGACAGAACCCAAAGGGCTACAAAATATCTGGAAACGGCAGCCATCTCCTTAACATCCTCCACATGAACACGGATACCTTTGTTGGGATTAAAATGTTCCACACACTTGTTGATGAAAGGATGTGTCCTGCCTTCGGCCTTAGGGATTCATAGGCAGAAGAAAATGTGAAATTACCATACACTGATGGAGTCCACACTAAATCTCCTGATGTGGTGGACACATTGTCTTCAACAAAATCTCTAACAAGCTGCATTCTCCTCCATGTGAGAGAGCCCGTCTGGTCCGTTGCAACTTCATGGTATTTAGCATGCATGAATGAGCTCCACAGGGTGCCTCCCTTTAAAAAGTTGAAGTAGAGCTTTGCCGAGCCAGACTCTTGAATCGACGAAAGACAGCGAACCCCCAAACCGCCCTCATTTGTGGGTAGGCAAACGCCCTTCCATTTCACCCAGTGTCGTTTGGTCTTCCCCTCGAAACTGCCCCATAAGAAATTGGTTAACTTTGCCTCCAGAGATCTCACAACCTACCTAGGCAGTGTCACAGACGCCATTGTATACATTGGAATCATTGTTAGAACATGTTTAATGAGTGTTAATCTGCCTCCTTGGGATAGCAGTTTCTCTGCCAACCGAGTAATTTATTGTCAATCTTCTCCAGAAGATGCTGGTAATAGTGTGTTCTATTTCTGTCCGTGAACATGTTGACCCCTAGATAGAGCTGCAGAACCTCCGACAAAGCTTTTAGGGAACCAGACGAGCCATTGACAAAAATGACTATGTCGTTTGCGAATGCCAAGTGAGTAACAACAGGGCAATTTATCCTCGACGAGTAAGGTGACAAACCTCCCGTACCCATTTTTAAGATGAGAGAGCGAGAGAGAGCTTCCGAGGCAAGAATGAAGAGGAGGGGCGAGAGAGGATCCCCTTGCTTGACCCCCCTCGTCGGTTGGAAAAAGCCACAGCTTACTCCGTTAATCAGAACAGAGAGTCTCGTCGCCTCCAAGTTGTTCATAATTAAGTTTATGAAAGACACCGAGAAACCGAATCTATCCAGAACCGCTCGGAAGAAGGGCCAGGCGACTCGATCAAATGCCTTCATCATGTCTAGTTTAACAACAACGTTCGCACCCCGACACCGTTTATTTATATGTTGTAGTAGTTCAAAAACAATTAAAATGTTATCTTGAATGCTTCTGCCTTCAACAAAACCAGCTTGCTCCCTTGAGATGATTTTGGGTAGGATTGACTTAGCCGAGAGGCTATTATTCTTGTAAAGACCTTGCTGACGAAAGTGCAAAGGCATATTGGTATGTATTCCGCGAATGTGTCCGGTTTCAATTTTTTGGGAAACAACACTATTTGAGCGCTTCCCATAGCACGGGGAACGGGTACACCAGCAAAGAAGTCTAAGGTTGCCATGTAAAGATCATCTTTAATAATGTCCCACCAATGACGGAAGAAGGCGCCCGAAAAACCATCTGGGCCAGCTGCACTGTCCGGATCTAGTTTCCAAACTGCCTCTTTAACCTCTTCTCTCGTGACGGGCAGAGATAAGGCGGCTTTATCTGAGTCAAGCACGCCCACCGGTAGGCACTAAAGTAAAGCCTCCATTCCTGGGCAGTCCTCTGCTGAGAATAAACCAGAAAAGAAGGATACCGCTTCCGTCTGAATAGCCGGTTGAGTTGTGAGCAGCTCCCCCGTACCTGATTTGATAGCACTTATTCTCTGTCTCCGATGCCTGTCCTTAACCACAGCGTGAAAAAATCGGGTGTTGGAATCTCCCTCTTTTAGCCATTTCACTCTAGCCTTTTGCTTCCAAAACATTTCCTCCTGTTTGAGAGCTTGTAGGAGATCAGCCTGGAGTTTATGAAGTGATTCCCGACTACCTGGTGAAGGATCATCATCAAAGGTGTTCTCTGCTTCTGCCACACAAGATTCCAGGACTCGAATACGATCAAATACGTTCCCGAAAGTATCTCTATTCCAAATTCGGAGGCAATGTTTGAGGCGCTTTATTTTAAAAGCCAGTGCCCGCATTCCTCCTCCATCAGCCTGCTGGTTCCAATTTAGTCTAACAACATTGATGAAATCTGGATGGGAGGTCCACATTGTTTGAAAATGGAACTGTTTTGGGCATGACAAAGTGTTATTAGTCCCACTTAGGAGGATCGGGGAATGATCTGAAGACGTCCTGGCTAAGACATTTATTCGAACCTCCGTAAAGTAATCTCTTAGAGGTGGATTCATCAGGAAACGATCTAGCCGTTTCCAGACAGCTCCTGTATTACAGATGCCATGCCATGTGTATAACCTGCCTATCGTAGCCAGATCAATAAGCGACTTATCGGTAATGAAGTTGGAAAAATCAGAAATGCAATTGACATCCGGAAGAGCATTGCCTCTATACTCTGAGATGCTTGAAATTACATTAAAGTCTCCTGCCAGAAGTAGTGGTCTATTATCTTCTATACAATCTGAAAGTTGTGTCCATAACTGGGCTCTGTCTGCTCTAGTGTGTTTCGCATAAATAGCAATAAAATGAAAGGTTAACTGCCAAGGTTCGTAGCGAGCCTTGCACATGACATACTGATCACTGTCCTCCTCAACTTCAATTTCAAAAGAATCTGACCACAAAAGCCAAATTTTCGACTCTCTGGATGCATATCCTCCTGAAAATCTGAACTCTCGGGCAAAATTTTCCAGTCGACTAGTAGGTAAAAAAGGCTCAATAACTGAAACAAAATTAATGTGCTCACGTCTGATAATCTGTTTAAGTCTGCTCTGTGAGGAAAGCAAACCCCGGACGTTCCAACTTAGGAGCTTCATTTTTGTCGATGCGAAAAAGAAACCCTTGTGATTTTACCCGCTGCCAAGCGTGTGGTGACAGAGGGGGTGTTCGCAGAGTAATCTTTCCGGGGCCTACTTTTTTTCTTTGTGACAGCTATAAAGTCATCTGCCTTTGATTTCCCCAATTTAGTATCAAACAGTTTGCTCGCCTCCTTCCAAGAATCAAGGGGCAGAGATTGAGAGAAGACTCGTGCATTCCGTACCTCATCCCCGTCAGAGTGATGGCCTGCTTGCGAGTCCGATGAGGGCGAGGGTTGAATTCCCTGATCATCAATTAGAACCCGCCCGATGGAGGCGTTAACATCTGGTATTGTCAGCGGCAATGCAGCACTTTCCGAGTCCACAGGCGTAGTGTCAATCTGAGGATTAACCGGGTCATCTGAACCTACATATTGTGGTTCTTCAGATTGGGTTAATAGTGGACGCCATCTCTTTCTTGGCGGAACTAGCAACGGTTGCTGAGTTGTATCAACTTCCTTGCTTTTTGGAGTCTCACGACGGGGATCAGGATGAGGTTGCGTGATTCTGCAATCTGATTCAGTATGGCCAAATTTCCGACATCCCATGCAGTAGGGAGGGATGTATTCATAACAGACCTTTTGAGCAAAACCTCCATATGAGCTGTTAATGATCCATATTTGGTATTGGAGACTATTGCAGACATTTAGCTCAACACATACTCGAGCCATGGACGGCCGGTTGTGTGTCAAGGTGGACGCGTCGACCTTGAGAGGTTTGCCAATTAGATTGGCAATCGAATAGAGGGCTCTCTTGTCTCGTAGATGTGCCGGAAGGCCTTCAAAAGCAATCCAGACAGGGACTATAGGAGACTCCATGTCTGGCCGGAAATCTGGAGACCACTTAAAGATTCGCATTAAGCTTCCTCGGATAGACTATGATTTTCTAAGCCAGTATCTCTGGAAATCTGATTCGTGGTCGAAGTTGATGAGAACATGGCATTGATCGATCAGCCCTAGCGTGAAGGCCCCTCCAAACCCGATCTGATCGAATGTTTTCCGAATATCCGCCATTGGAGGTTGGCCTTTAGCGAATTTTCCAACCAGTGCGAACTTGAACTTCTGAGAGAATTTTTGAACGTCCTGATCTGTGAAAGAAACCGCCGGCATGCCTTTGTACTTTCCCGGCGGTCGAAGGGATGGCTCACTGTCGTTTGATAGGATGTCCGCGAAGGTGCGAGGACGAGGGGGCGCGGCGGCCCCCGGCGGTGCCGCCATGTGATCGCAGAAGGAAACCAAGAATTGCGGAGCGTTTTGTTTATAAGATCTTGCGGACCTCCATATGATATTTTTCTTTCTACGTCTAGAAACATAGTACATATATATATACAAACACATAACTTGTAAGTAACTACCCATAACTGACACATATCCATAAACACACACAACCCTATAGATAAACCCAACTCTTTATTTTTCAACAATTAATATTGTAACACCCCTAAATTTTAAGATATTTAAAACCTATAAAATAAACGCTGATCTATTATTATTTCCCAAACAAAGCATAAGCGAAACATAATAGTCGGGGTGCTATGCCACATCTGAGCTAGAGAACTCAGATGCACATGCTAAACTATCTAACAAAGCATAAACCACAATTGATATCTAAGTACAAATCAAGGCACGCATGTAACACCCCACTTTTTCTAAAACTTAATTACAATTCTAATCCATAATTAACATAACTAAGCAGCGGATAAATAACATAAATAAGATAACTCGTGGGAATGTCACCGCCACAATCACCACTACGTAGTTTATTGCACAGGCTAAGGGTAGGACTACAAAATCAATAAATAACTAACCATCCATCAACTTAAATAAGCATAAGGGGGATAAACACACCCCGATGTCTACATCATCGAAAAACAACAAAATATCATAAGTCTAACATCTTATAGATAACAACATAAACTAGTCATAAATAGTTTAGACATCCCAATCTAAAAGACTAGTCTAACTCGATCACTTCTCACTGCTGGGCCCACCTGAAAAGGGTTTTACAAGTAACACATAGAGAAATAGGAAAACAGCAGTTAGCACGAAGCTAAGTATAACCACACTCAACCCTGTAAAGTACTATAGAATATACTTTGGAAAACATTTGATTACATTCGTATACAACAAACTCATCTCATAGGCAACTTTAGCCATATCACATACTTCTATATGCTTGCAACCTATAATATCAAACATGCATGCTTCGATACAAAAGACTTCACAATTTAAATGTTTCAGCATATAAATGTCACAACAAAATTATCAAGCAACTCATGCTTACAAGTAATATCATGCTAATAAACCATACGAAAGTTAATCTCTTGCTCTTAAGTTCACATCAAGAAACTGGATATACAAGACTTCAAATGTAACTAAACAATCATTCTCGATATACAATTCTTAAATCAACATTCTCGTCATGCAATCTCAGGCAATACTCTACTCACATGCAATCTCGTGCAATACTATACTCATATGCAATCTCGTGCAATACTATACTCATATGCAATCTCGTGCAATGCTATAAATATACTCATATGCAATCTCGTGCAATGCTATAAATATACTCATATGCAATCTCGTGCAATACTATACTCATATGCAATCTCGTGCAATGCTATAAATATACTCATACACTAGTTGTAAAATAGAGTACTTTCTGTGGAGGTCTCATTGAGTCATAAATGATTTGCTTACTTTCTTCCTTTCTTTGGAGTCGCAATGACTCATTTCTTTCTTTCTTAGAGTCGCAATGACTCATTCTTACTCTTTTAGAGTCTCAAAGACTCATACTTTCTCTTTAAATGGACGAGGTAAGAACTTCATCATGTGAATGAACCTATCGGGGCACGGCGTCACAATGTCCATAAAATCATCCGAGAGGACATAGTCCAAACGGGGTCCTCCAAAACCTCACCGATATAGATAATACATAAATATATCCCTCATGCATCAATCTCATGCAGGCAACAACTCTACAACTTCTCAATGCATCAAATAATGATATACCACATGCTTATGGATTTTTGAAAGTAATACTTGGGCTCACGTTGGCCACTTATGCATTTTTTGAAATATGATATATGTGAGATGCAAAATACTCTACAACATGCTCCAAATCTATGTATATAATCCATAAAATTCTCAAGGATATCATATCATACTCGGTTTGCAACATAACAAATTCTATACATTCCAATCAACAAAATATGCTTCAAAACTCATTGATCAAATATCACATTTAGTCATGCTTTCATAATAAATCATATTCTCAAGTGATCATGCTTCTCTACTCAATACAAAAATAATCATCAGATCACAGAGCAAAATATGTCTCAATACACAGTGAACTCAACAATGTATACTGTGTAACAAAATCCTCAATAAAACCATCATAACATACTCATTTTTTTTTATCCAAATTCAACGAAATCAAAGCCTACACGTGCGTCAATACGGTCCCGAGGTACCGAGCCACAAGGGCCCGTGACACCTGGCCCGAAACGAAATGTAGCTGAGCCACAAGGGCCCGGCCACTCCACAAAAACCTTCCAGAATGAAACTTAGGGACCTGCGGCGGGACACCTCAAGAGCCGCCCCAAGTAACCCGTCACATGGCCGAGCATAGGCAACGGCCCTCTCCTAGGGCCGTGCCCTAGGGCCGGTTTGCCCCGGCTCTAGCCGGCGGCCTTCCTGATGGCCTGTGGCTAGAGCCGCTGCTCTGATCTGGTGCACACTGTGTGTGCACCAGATGGAGATTTTTACTTGCAAAAATTATTCCAATCACGTCCAAAACATCCAAAACATTCTCAACACTTCAAAGACAAATACTAGATCATTTCTAAGCTTAAACACCACAAAATCTCATCATTTCTACTCATTTATACTCAATAAAAGAGGCTTTAAAGAGCCAAAAATCAAAGAGGGAGTCCATGGGGTTATACCTCTTGTTGCCTCTTCTTATTGTATGGATCTCTACCTCCTCTCTACTCAAACACCACCTCCTTCACCACCTAAACAAGCCAAGACTAAGAAACCTTAGAGATTGAAGGCTAAGATAAGAGGAAACCTTAAGATATGATGGAGAATGGATAGAGGAAATGAGTGTTGGAAACTTACTGCAATGTTTCTCTCTTCTATCAGACAATAACTTGGGAGAGGCAAGGTTGGAGATCAAGGAATAACAAATGGATAGTGTTGTTTATATAGGGTGCAAAACCCTAGGTAAGAAGGCCAATGATTGGTTGAGGGCAAAGTGGTAAAAACATGGCTAGAAAGTGTTCTCAGGCAAACATTTCTTTGAGTGGTGTGGTTCACCTAGCATCATGGACTAAGGCTAGAGTTGCTATTTTAAAACACTTTGGGGTTGAAAATGAATTTTCTCAAAAAGTTTTCTAGATGAACACTTGTTTAAAGCTTTCTTTGAATTCTCCTGGTTTCACTCAGATTGATTTCTCGATTTAAAACTTGGTACGCGAAGTACCCGAAGATTTAGGATTTTGAAATAAAATAAGTTTTGGTGTTGTATTAATTTAAAATGAGTCCAAAATAATTTACTCAAACACCAATTGATCGCAAAAATTTTTAATGGAGGGAAAATGGCTATTTTGAAATTTTGGTGGTTGATAGGTGGTTTGTCGGGTGGTTTGTCGGGGGTGATCCCGGGATCGAAAAGATGGTGCCACAGTGTCATTCAATGATCCGCACCTCTAGTGCCATTATAACTCTAACATGACACTGTGACACTTATAACCTGACCCATGCTCAACGGCAAGCTAGTCGAAGGTGGGTGTGTGCCTTCAGCACAGTCACTGCTATGGCCTGTACCTTTAGTACAATGACTAGGCACAAGTGGTGCCAATCTCCAACAATTCATTTCCACCAATCACAATCTCATCATCATCATCAGTCGCACCGGCCATTGCACAATGACCACGATACTCATCACCATTCAATCATTCAACACATAAGCAAATAACAATCAAGACACAACAACAACGACACGTATTACACATAAGTTCCTAGGGCGATACCCAAAACACCAAACGAGACTCATACACGAAAAACAGGGTACAACGGGACACAACGGGACACGGGGAAACATCAAAAGGGGAAAACACCACGAACCACGCCCGGTTTCCAGCGGGTAGGTGGCGGGTGGTCAGCCACCCACCGGTGGCCACTCGCTATTCCAGCGGGTGGCCGGCGGGCAGACCACCGCCCGCCGGCTGCCCGCTGGAACAGTGAACACGGGCAACGGGTAGGTGGCGGGTGGTCACCCCCCTCCCTACCCCCACTGGTACACAGACAACTTTTCGATCCCAGGATCACTCGTGGAACCCGAAACCATGTCCGGACACATAACGACAACACCACGTGTTCAATTAATGGAAACAAACCAAGAATCATACAAAATACGTTCAATCACGATCCCAAAACATGCCAAGACTCAACATAAATCATATAACGGTTCAAGAGTATCCTGAACCACAGGAATATTAAGAAACCTGTTAGTGTTTTAATTGCTTAAAAACCCCAACTTATAATTGGCAATATTATAATGGCAAACTAAGATAGGGTTAGCTTAGTGTCGGTTTGTTCTACTGAGGCTGATCAATCAGATACAACAACAGAGGGACTGACACTGAAGATCTGTTTTAGGAAGCTGTTTCCTTAAAGGCTGAACGCGGTTTAAAGAAGACTGAATTGGAAAGAAGATCAACGTATCTGTTTTGGAAAGGTATGGAACGAATCTTTAAGATCACATTCTTCAAATATTGTCCTACCATCTACAATAAAAGATATCTATGGAGAGTGTTCATACTATAGAACTATAAGTACTCTTGTTCGACAAG